AAAAAAAATATTAATTACGTAAAAAAGTCACATATAAATAAACTACTTCAAATATACATTAAATAATTACAAATAAAAAATATATATCAAATTAAAATTTTAAAAAATAATTATTATAAATTATAATTATAAAGTTAAAAAAAATTATATTTATAAAAATAATAAAAATATATCTATTTTTAATGTTAAATAAAATATTTATATTATATAAATTAAAATTATATATATATATATATATTGCATAAATTAAAATAATAATTATAAACTTAAAAATAAATTATATTTAGAATTATAAAAAAAAATCTATTTATAAAATTAATAAAATAAAAATAAAAATTAGAAAAACCAGTTCAGATTTATGTTTCTGAGACCGAATTCTGATTGGAAAAATAAAACCATGAGAAATGGTAGTTATAACCGAATTCTAAATATCAATAGTGAATTATATTAGATTAATAAATAATGTTATAAAGATATTATTTTAAGAAATATTTTTTTAAATAATATTATTTATGAAAAAAAGTTTTTTAATATGCTTATCTCACATCGTTACAAAAGATAATATATATACCCATAACATTATGATTTGATTAGATAATTTTTTCTATAAACATAAACAAATAAGAAAATAACTTAACATATATTATATAAAATAATTATATGCATAAAACTTTATTAAACCTTGATATTCTTTCTATTTTTTTTTCGTGAAATAAAATATATAATGTGATAATATAATAAAAACCACCCAAATTAAAGTATTTTAGAATTTGAATGGACATGATATATATATTTTGAAGAGTCAGTCAGTCTATAAATTGTCAATCATTGATTTTTAAATAATTTTTCTGATGAAACTCAAAACACATATATTTATTGTAATAATTGATTATTCTTTTATGTGGTTTTTTAGTCTCACTGCAATAAACTCTATAAATTTGTATTTCTATATAATTTCCATTTTATATTTTAAATTATCAAATAAAAAGGAATTGAGTGATTGATGGAGACACGAGAACCCTGAGCTAAAAGTTGTTGACAACCTACAGTGTTCATTAATTTTTCCAACTGCCATATCCATCAACTCTTTAATGTAACGATTTTAGTTTAATAAAATATTTTTTCTAACTAATAATAAGTAAAATAAAAATAAAAATTATATATTAATATATACTTAAAATTAAAAAACAATGGTAAGAAATAATAAATTTTAGGAAAATTAATTTGAATTTTCTTAAAGTATAAAATTAAGTTAAAATATATTTATATATTTCAAATGTATAAAAATAATTATTCTATCTAATATTTTGGAAAAATTAAAATATTTTGGAAGGTTGATAGGTAGTTTCACAATTTAAAAGTGATATTTGTATCAAAAACTTTCTTCATAGTTATATTTGTATCAAAAAATTTCTTGACAGATTAAATCACGTCTATCAGATGATGACGAATACGTTTTTTCAAGAGTAAAGTCTTTTTGAAATAGTGAGTTAGGTTATGACCAACAATCATGAAAACACCGGTCTTTGAAGAGGGATTCCTGGTAAGACACAACACCATTCAGAATGAAACCCAACTTACATAAGAATTCACATTACTCTTAACCTAAAATTTTAATTTATAAGTTACACATCATACTTCCTTATAAATTATTTAACTTTCTCATTTAATGTAAAATTAAATTCACACATGGATTACCCTATATATATATATATATATATATATTAATAAATTATTACTTAAATAATTAAGTCCACCTACTTGAATATTCTTTAATCACAACTTAATTCAGTATATACACATTTTACGGTTAATATTTCAATTTCTAAAGTTGTGCAGGACTCAGATATAACTTACTCATTCAAATTTCTATTCTAAAAACCCTTTCTTATTACTTTAGTTTTCTTTTTCCACTTTCAAATATAAAATTTCTATGGAGTTATATTTTAAATAAATTATAAGAATTATTCAACTTAATCTTCTATTTATAAATTTTTTTATAAAATTAAATATATATGAATTATTCAACACAATAATAGTGAGTCAAATAAACGTGTTTCATTATGATGAACGACGGTGCATGAAAGAGTTATTAGTGTGTTTGAGGGGATGCATCAGTGTGAAGGAGACTACTCACACTTGAGAGGAAGATTGTTAGGTAATCCAAATGTAGTCTAGCTCCATATGCAGTAAAAATAAAAAAATTGTGTAACATATAAGGAAGTATGATCCATAACCTAATATCTTAAGGTCTTGAGTTGAGAATAACATAAATTTTTATATAGGTTGAATTCTTATCCCATTTGTGAGAATATCCCTAGTATCCCTCGAAAATACCTAATAAAAAAGATTGAAAATCAGTTAAAACTCATTTCTCACTTTTATTTTATCTAAAACGATACTTATGTCCTTGCGATATAAATGTATAATATTATTTATTTAAATAATTAATTTACATTTATTTTCTTTAACTTTTATAATTATATTGATAAAATAAAAGCATGTGATATTATTTTATTAGGACTAATAATTTAGAATATAATTATATATATATATATATATATATATATATATATATTTATAATATTTTATAATATCATATCATACTTGTTCAGTTTAAGCATGTCCGATAATATATAATATTATTAAAATCAATTTTTATGTCTAAAATATTATTTATTTTGATATTATTCATTTTAGAGTTCTCATTTTATTTTTTATTAAATATTTATTATACATATATACTTTATATTATATTTTATATATATATATATATATATATATTTTAAAAGTATTTTTTATTAAATATTTATTATACATATATACTTTATATTATATATATATATATATATATATATATATATTTATTTGTGATAGTATCCATTTATATAGGATTGTTATTGAGTTAATGGTTGAAAATCCGGACTATCACTGCAGAGTTAAAAACCAAATATACATCACCAATTATTTTATAAAATATAATTTTATAAAATAAAATATAATAATAATATAAATAAAAAATCAAACAATAATTAAAATTAAATTATTAAAAAAAATATAAGTTGCTTAAATTTATTTATATATACTTTTTTACAATATTGACAACAATGTAAATATATTAACATAAATCTCAAAAATATTTATCTCATTCTAAAACAAGTCAAAATATATTCAATGATTTATTTTATCCAAAATATTGCATATAAACTATGCTACAATCTAAAATAAGTTTTTAAATATATTTTAAATTATATTAAAACATAAATTTTAAAGAATTTAATTAATTTTTCATTTTGTAATTATTTTTGAATAAAAAAATAATAGAAAAAATAAGTACATGTCATAATAATAATAGTAATAATAATAAGTAAAAAAAACTGTACCAAACATGAAATAATTAATATACATATTAAAATTAATCGTGGAAATAGATGGTGGTGAATGGTTTATGTAAATAATAATTTTTGGTTCATGGTGTGTATTAATTAAGAGGTGGTTTTGGATGTTTGGTGAAGGCGTGTGGCCATTTTTAAGTGGCTGAGAGAGGTTAGGTGAAGGTGTGTGGCCATTATTAAGTGGGCAAAAGGATTTTTCTACAATCTAATTTAAAAAAATAGATAAATAAAAATATAAAAATCTAGAAGGAAGTATTGATGTAAAAATATCAATACTCTTATGAAGTGACTGACAGATGTTGGGTGATGGTGGGTCTGCAGTGTCAAGTTGCTGAACTGTGAATGAACTTTGATATGAGGCGGGGAACATGAGTCCTTATGATTTCTAATAAAATAATATGTAGAAATATATATAATATATTTTATTTAATAAAAAAATATATAAATATTTTATTTTAATATTTATAAGAAAATAAACAAAGACTAAAATTATAATTATAAATAAATATATTTAATAATAATAATTAAATATAAAAACAAAAATTATAAGAGCCTCTCAAAATACTTAATTCGTTCTTTCAAGAAAAGGATCTGTATCTTAAATAATTATATTGAACTTGATTTTCATAATAAAGAGAATTTCTAAAATTTGAGTTAAAAAGATAAAAAATAATAAATTATCGTATAATTTGTTTCTTAAATATTTTTAACACTATGAAACCATCTCTTAATTTTTATATTATCATTTCTTCATTTTTTAATGATAAAAAATCAATTAATTATATTTATTATTATTATTATTATTTTGTTTAAATTTTTGAAAATAAAAAAATTTATTTAAATATTTATTATATCTAAAATTTAAAAAGTTATTAAACTTTTTATTTTTATAAAAAAAACTATTCTAAAATATTAAAAATCAGCATATATAAAATATAATATTTATTTATAAATGTAAATGTACTTTTTTATTTATTGTGATTGAGATTTATTGTGATTGATAATGGATATAAAAAATTAGAGTATATTTATTATTATAAATAATTTATAGTTTTTATTTTAAATTTTTGTTAATTTTTTATTATGTAATTTTTTTTGTTTTTAATAAAATATTATTATATGTATTAAAATAAATATTTAATTTTTTAAATTAATTTTAATGTTGTTCAATATATGAAATATAAGTAAAAAAATTATAAAAATTTAACCTAAGTGGGTTGTAATTTATATAATACATGTTAAATAGACAAAGATTACGTGGGATTTTCAACACACCCTATAGGCATATGGTATTTTTGATCTAACTAAGGACAACTTTAAGTTCATGATCATAATATAAAAAAATGTTAGACTTTGCTTATGATATCATGTTAAAGTTCCAACTTAAATCAATTAACATATATTTAAATAATATCAAAATAAAATGAAAAATAAAATGAGATGAGGCAGGGAACGTGGCACTCTCCACAATACAACAAATCACTTGATGTGAAAACAAGCTAAGCATTTGGATCCTCTTTTATCATAGATGTGGATTATGAGGATTGAGACTCTAAATTGAGATTTATATGCATCAATGTATCATGCTTACCAAAGCAAATAACAATGGCCTCCAACAATGACGCTCCCACCCGCGTGCTGATGGTGTCCTTCCCTGCCCAAGGACACATAAACCCTTTGCTCAGGCTCGGTAAACACCTTGCGGCCAAGGGTCTCTCCGTCACCTTCTCCACCACTGAGAGCATCGGCAAGGACATCCGCGCTGCCACCTCCGCGAATAACGCACTTCACTGGCGCATCGGCGCCGGCTCCCTCACATTCGAGTTCTTCGAAGACGGGCTGTCGGACGACGACCCCATGCGGAAAAACCTCCTCGACTACACTGTACAGCTCGAACGTGTCGGCAGAAAAGTCATTTCCCACATGATTAAGAAACACGCTGAGTCAAATGGTCTCTTTTCGTGCATCATCAACAACCCTTTTGTGCCGTGGGTCTGTGACGTGGCCACAGAACTCGGCATCCCTTGTGCCTTGCTTTGGATTCAATCTGTCGCTGTGTTCACCGCTTATTATCACTACTTCAATAAATCGTTGCCTTTCCCCACTGAAACTGACCTTTACCTTGACGTTCCTTTGCCTAACGTTGTCCTTAAGCATGACGAGATTCCCGATTTTCTCCACCCCTTTAGTCCCTTTCCCTTCTTGGGGAAGCTCATATTGGAGCAGTTCAAGAACTTGTCCAAACCGTTTTGCATTTTGGTGGACTCGTTTGAGGAGCTAGAGTTTGATTGTGTTAAGTATTTGTCAAAGCATCTCCTTGTTAGACCCGTTGGGCCTTTGGTAAAAGACCCAACTCATGGAAATGGTGTTATTCGTGGTGATATGGTGAAAGTCGATGACTGCATGGGTTGGTTGAGTTCAAAGGCTCCTTCTTCGGTGGTGTATATTTCATTTGGAAGTGTTGTGTACCTGCCTCAGGAACAGATTGATGAAATAGCCCGCGGCCTTTTGATGTCAAAAGTCTCGTTCTTGTGGGTGTTGAAACCGCCTCGTAGAAACTTGGGACTCGAGCCACATGTCCTCCCCGAAGGGTTCTTGAAGCAAACTAGCGAGGGAGGGAAAGTAGTTCAATGGAGTCCACAAGAAGAAGTTCTGGCGCACCCTTCCGTGGCGTGTTTTCTCACTCACTGCGGGTGGAACTCGTCGATGGAAGCTCTCACTTTTGGAGTGCCCGTCATCACGTTTCCTGCGTGGGGTGACCAAGTCACTAATGCCAAGTTTTTGGTAGATGTTTTTGGTGTAGGGGTTCGGTTGGGACATCGACAAGCCGAGAACAAAGTGGTAACGGGACATGAGGTGGAGAACTGCTTACTAAAAGCCATGGTGGGAGATACGGCTGAGGTGTTGAAGCGAAACGCGTTGAAGTGGAAGGACGCAGCGGACACCGCCACCGCCCACGGTGGCTCCTCCTACCGGAACCTTGATGCCTTTGTAGCCGATATTAAAACAAGAAGCATGGGCAAGTTCTTTTGCTGACAAGAGATGGTTTCTATTTGATGAAGCTTAGGGAATTATCAAACGAGGAATCATATTTTCACAGCCAACGAATCGCCTTTTAACAACTCATTTTTATTAATATAATAATATATAAAATAATTTAATAAAAATAAAACAAAACTATTATTATAATATAAATTAATTATAGAAATTATATGAATATTTTTATTAATATAATAATCTATAGAATAATTTAATAAAAATAAAACAAAACTATTACTATAATATAAATTGATTATAGAAATTATATGGATTTAATTTATCAAATATCATTTTCTTGTTAAATTAAAAAGAGTTTTTAACAACTGGTTTATAAATAAAAATAAATATTTATCATAAATTTTATTTAAAAATTAGAGTATTTATATGAGTAACTTTATTTTCATTTTAAACCTCTAAAATTGATAATAAAATATTATTTTTTATCTTTTAATAATTATTGTTATCAACTTTATTTTCTTCTTATTTAAGCTTTTTAAAAGTTTATTAAACATTTATTTAACAATTATCTTTAAATTTTTATATTATTATTTATTTATTTATTTATTTTTAACAATCACACCAAAAATATTATTTTAAAATTATTAATTGAATATTTGAAAAAAATTATTGTAATTTTTTTTCCTTATCACTATGGACCCGAACCCGATTTTAGTCAAAAAAATCATTTTATTAATTTTAATACTTATATAATATTTGAATTCAAATATAATTAATATAAAAAATGTTTATTTAAAATTTTATCGATAAATAAAGTTTTAAAAAAGTGGTCAAATTTCATATTTGATCGAAGGTTAACAAGATTAAGGACATCTTTATTTATTGCTTTTAAAAATAGTTTTTAATTTTAAACAAATTTAAAGACAAAAAAAACTTATCTTTTCATTATTTTATTAAAATAGTTTTAAAAACAAATTTTATTTTCTCTGTTAATTTATTTCTTTTTATATTTTCTGATAAAATATCAAGATTTAAAAATTGATAAAACATTTATTATTTTTAAATTTTCTATTTTCATATATATTTTTCACCAGTGATTATATTATATTTCTTATTTTTATTCTCAAAAATATATTATTCCATTCACCTTGATTCTTTATAGCAGTCGAAGTTATTTTCTTTTTATTTAAATATTTTTAAATTAGAATTAGAAAATAATATTTTTAATTTACTCTCAAATATAATTTTTCAAAAGTAAATTTAAAAAATAAAAACTAAATAAAACAAATCCTAAATCTTAATTTTTCACACTTGATTCTTCTAAACCCACGTCAAGCTTCCTCCATTGTTATATTTATTTGTAATTTTTTTTAATCAAATTTTAATGTTTTAAACGTAAAAAGATTTATGATATTTTGACACCACCAAAAATAAAAATATTTATTTAAAAACTTACTTTTAATTTTTTATATTATTATTTATTTATGTTACTTCATTTACTTTTCATTAATAAAAATAATAATATTTTAAGATTATAAATAGAATATTTATAAAAATGGGCTATGAAATTTTTTTTCCCATATATCAATGGATTGATGTAAATTTAGAATGTGACACAGTGAGGGCATAGCCAACCAGATAAATGGAGAAGTGCTTGCAGATGGAGGCAGAGTGCAGTGATTGATGATGCCATTTTTAAATAAACATTTATCCGTGCATAATCACATGTTAAATTACGATGAATATGCACTCATTATTTTGAACATTATTTGCTTAATTATGTAAAAACTGAATTTGACCCGTGCGTTGGTAAGATAAATGATAAAATAAATTAGGTTAGATGAAATTATTTGTGATTTCAATTAAGTTTGTTTATTTTTTACTTAGTCTTTTGGTTTATAACTTAAATGGATTAATAAATTGATAGCCCCGTAAATTTTATAATAATTATATTCAAATAAAATTAATGTTATTTTATTAAAATAAATAAATATAATATAATATATATATTATAATTCATATATATATATATAGTTATGTATTTAAGATTAACTTTTATAATTTCTATTATTATAAGATTAATTTAAAAAATCTATTAATTCATTAATTTAAAATAATTTATTAATCCATTAATTGAGATTCATGTTAAAATCATAATCCATTTGAGTACAATTTTAATTTATATTTGGTAGCATATATCAATATTATAGAAAATCTTAATTATTATTTTAAAATTTATTTTGAAAATCGGAGTACATTGATAAATTCAACTAGTTTAATCAAGAATAAATATAGAAATTGACCAATTATTTTTAAATAATTAAATTTTAATTAAATTAAGTCAAAATTATAAAAAAAATTGATATAAAAGAAAAAAAATCAGAACAATTGATTGAATTTTTAATTAAACTGTAAAAAAAAGTAAAGATATTTTTTAATATAATTTTTTTATCTTATATTATATATATCAACTATAAATAATAATTATTTTATTATAAATTTTATTTTATTTTATATATTATTTATCTTATATTTTTTAATATATTTTCTATTTATAATTTTATTATAACTTATAACAATCATAATAACTTTTATTATTTTTTTATTTTATAAAAAATATTATTAATAATAAATTTATTATATATTTTTATATTATAAAAATATTACTTTATTAAATGTAATTAGTTATATCTTTATTAATTTTGTGATCATTCAATTTTAGAAACATCAATCTTAATTACACTTAACATAAAATTGATTACCCAAATAAATGAAAGTTACGTGTCAGTGTTTTTTTTTTTTTTTTTTGTTTGTTATCTCAGGTTTGAGCTGTCTTTTTTTATGGTCTTTTTGCCTCTCATATTTTCAATCATTACATTAATATAATAATAAATAATAATATTATTAATATAATTAGTCGAATAAATGTTTTATTTGTTAATATTTTTAAAAAGAAATGTTAATAACTCTAAAAAAATCTCCCAATTACTTATTAAAAAGTTTAAGTAAAATATTAATTAATTAGAACAATTTTCAGTATATTTTAAGTTTTTAATTTTTTTATTAATTGTTTCATAAAATAACTTATAAAAATAGATAAAGTTATATAAAAAAAATGTATTTAAATAAAATTAATAATAAATCATTTAAATATAATATGATATAAGAAATCTATATTTTATAAATACGTGTTAAGAATTTTTTGTACAAGAGATGCTTTGTTTGTGGTGACTCAGATATAATAATTTTGTTCACTTGAAATTACAACACAGTGAGATAATTATTGTTCTGGTAGTTGTTGATGTTGTAAGTATCTAAACTAATAAATTCTTACATACTAATATTTATGTTCTTAAATTTTAACTTTTCAATAGAGCTAATTACCCGTTTAAGAAATTCTAGCAACACAAGATTTGTTTGTTTGTGCATAAAAAAAAGTGATTCTTCTATAATTTTTTGTGGTTTTTTAAGAAGTTATCCGCTTAAGAAATTCTAGCAACATAAGACCTGTTTGTCTGTGCATAAAAAGAGTGGTTGCTCAAAAGTGTTTTGTTTTCACGTAATTTTTATATAATTTTTTGTGATTTTTTAAAAAGTCCTCTCTCTTTTGTTGCATTTATTTTTTAGAAGAAGCAACATCAAATTACTTATAAAAATGATTTAATTTTAAAAAAATCCAAACATATTAATAAATAATAATAATAATAAGCGACCATTTTATTAAAATAGTATTTTCCTTCTTTTACATGGGATATTACATGTTAAAAATTGATAAACAAATAATACTTTGAAAATACTTTATTATTGATTTAAATTTATTAAAAATCACACATTTTGTCTTAATTTTTTTAGTAAGTCTATATTATGATATTTTTTTTTAGATTTTATTTTAGTTGCATTTAATCATTAATAGAGTGTGAATCAACAAATAATATTAGAAAATGTGTTACTTATATAACTCTTTGATTATATATCTTTTAGTGGTATTCATAACAACCCATGAATTTGTCCAACTCTAATCATAAAAATAAAGAAATACAACTTTGATTAATTTAGGGTTTATTTGATTTAATGTTGTTTTAAGTTTTTTTTTAAATAATTGTAGAAGTATTTTTTAAAGATTTTTTTTTGTAAATAATTTTGAAAATACTTATTTAATAATTATAATTCAAAAAATATTTTAGATAAAAACAGTGATACTAATTACAATAACAAAATGGTGTGATGTAGTACAATTATTAGCACAAACATATACAAAATAGAAATTAAAACAAAACATATTTGTTAAAATTATATATTTTTAAAAATTAAAATTATTTTTAAAAACAATAAACAACGATTATTGTTTTAGTTCATATTATAATGGGGAGATGTTATCTTCTACGATAAACATACCCCATCACCTTTAAAACATTGTTAAGAGACATGCCATGAAGTACATATATTTTATAAATAAATTTGGGCTTAACACCTCGCGCCAAATTTTTAGCTGGTTGTGCTACATCTTGCGTTCAGTACCCACGAAATTACAGCCCAGCCTTTAAGGCCCAAAACTGTCACAACAAACCAAATTATATTCTTCTTTTACCCGATACTTTTCTATACCCCATAATTAAAATAAATCATATTTTACTGCAATATTAATCTTCTTTCCTACCTTATTTCTGTTTTTATTAAACCCCACACCTTACCTTTTTCATCATTTTCTTACTGTTTTTATTATTCGTTATTGTTTAAAGATTCATCAACACTGGTCTGGTTAGTTATAAGTATGATCATAAACCATTCTAAAAGTCTTTTTTTTTTTTTTTTTTCATATGTTACAAAAAGCAAAACACAGCTTGGTTTATAACCCTTTTGAAAAACTTTCAGATTATGTATTAAAAAAATATTTTTTGGCTGGTGTACAAACTAACCAATCCCAAAATATGTTTCAGATCATTCAAACCAATCTACAGATACATTTTAGATTACTTAATCTGAAATGTTTAGTGTGGATTTTACAGTAATAATTTGTAAATTTAAGGTGGTTCACACGA